GCGAGACCTCATCTCTACAATAAATCAAAAAATCAGCTGGGCGTGGTAGCGCATGCCTGTAATTCCGGCTACTTGGAAGGCTGAGGTGGAAGGATCGCCGGAGCCCAGCAGGTCGAGGCTGCGGTGGCTGGGAGCAGCCACTGCACTCCAGTCTGGGCGACAGAGTGAGACTCCAACTCAAAAAAAAAAAAAAAAAATTCTAATTTTCCCCTCTAAAATAGAATTATAAAAGAAAACCAGGGTTCTTATAGTTTATGTTTCTACCATAAAAAATAAAATAAGTATCTGAGCCTAAGGAAACTAGCTTTCTTGCATATTCCTCTCTAAAACTCAGAATCTGCCTCTGTGGAAACTAACACAATAACCTCTCCCACTTTCTCTATGAAGAATTATGCTTTACCTTTGCCTTAATTACAGGAACTAGAGAGAAATACACATCACTTTTAGAGGTAAAACAAAAAAATCAAGTGTACAAACTTAAGAGCTGACTTTCCAAATAAAACTGTAAGTGAATAGCTTCCCTAGGTAGCTGAAACATAACAATTATAAAGGGCAAGAGAAACTTTCCCATAGGGATGACCTAATGGTACACCTTTGGTCAGAGGTCTAGAGAGGTAGGAAGAATGTGAAAGACTGATGGTTTTGTGGATTATTATCGCTCTCAGCTTTTAGTTTGGTTTTTCAGAATATTTCCAATCATCTGTCACTTGCTCCATGAAAGTGTTCCCAAGTACCACCCCATTGACTATGTCAGAATCATACCTGTACAGGTAATCACAATGTCCACTTGTCGGATGACCTCATTTAATTTCACCAGTCGAAATCCATCCATACTGTTGAAATAAAGCATGACTAATTAACCTAAACAGGCAGCTGGGGAAGCTTTTGCCACAGAACTTCAAAAGCTGTTATCAAGTTCCTGTCAACTCTTGAGAGAGCTGAACTACTCTTAGTAATGAAAAATCCAAAGCATTTCCTTAGTTCATTCAAGACAGAAATAAAAGGTTCCTTTGCATCACTGGAACTTATTTCTTCCTTATAATAAATAGGGAGCAAGGGGTACCAAGAGATTCCCTGACCAAGTTTCTAGAAATTCTAGAAAGTGCCACTTAGCCACTGAATCAACTACCCCATAGAAAGTGCTCCTGGGTCAGGAGCAGTGGCTCACGCTTGTAATCCCAGCATTTTGGAAAGCTGAGGCCAGAGGATCATTTAAGCCCAGGAGTTCAAGACCAGTCTGGGCAGCACAGTGAGACCTCATCTCATTAAAAAAAAATTACAGCTGGTCTCGGTGGCTCAGCCTGTAATCCTGCGCCTTTGGGAGGCTGAGGTGAGTGGATTGCCTGAGCCCGCGGGTTCGAGACCTGCCTGGGCAGCAAGACCTCATCTCTACAATAAATAAAAAATTAGCCAGGTGTGGTAGCTGTAATTCCAGCTACTTGGAAGGCTGTAATTCCGCCTGTAATTCCGGCTACTTGGAAGGCTGAGGCGGAAGGATTGCCTGAGCCCAGCAGGTCGAGGTTGCGGTGGCCGTAAGCGGCCACTGCACTCCAGTCTGGGCGACAGAGTGAGACTCCAACTCAAAAAAAAAAAAAAAAAAATCACATATATATGTCTGCCCTAGAAGGCTCTCAAACTCACTGTGTTTATCTTATTCCCATGCCATATATATATGAATGTAAGTGCTCTTCTCAAGATTATCATTGATCTTCTGAATGCTAAAAGCTAAAATATTTCTTAGGTTCTTGACTCTTTATTTTTTTTTAAAGAGACAGGATCTCACTATGTTGCCCAGGCTGGAGTGCAGTTGTTACCCACAGGCATGATCACAGTGCCCTACAGCCTCGAATTCCTGATCTCAAGCAATCCTCTTGCCTCAGCCTCTCGAGTAGCTAGGACTACAGGTACATGCCATCATGCCTGGCTTCTTAGACTTATATCACTTGATTTCTTTCCCTACATTAAATATTATTTGCCTCCTTGAAGACCCATACTTCCTGGACTCCACAACACTTCTCTTCTGGTTTTCCTCCTCCTTTTCTGATACCTCTTCTCAACCTTGGGTAATTTTTAGAAACTGGTACTCCGCAGGATTCTGCCTTTACTCTTTTCACTAATTCTTTTTTTGAGTTGGGAGTCTCACTCCGTCACCCAGGCTGGAATGATGCGGTGGCACATTCACAGCCACCACAGCGTCGACCCGCTGGGCTCAGGCCATCCTTCCGCCTCAGACTTCCAAGTAGGTGGAACTACAGGCATGCGCCTCTATGCCTAGCTAATTTTTTGATTTATTGTAGAGATGAGGTCTCGCCAAGTTTCCCAGGCTGTTCTCAAACCCATGGACTCAGGCAATCCTCTCACCTTGGCCTCCCAAAGTGTGGGATTATATTTGGTAATTCTTTTAATACTCATCCATACCCTTCCCTCTGTCGCAAATGACTACTTACAAATGGCTGATTTTCATATTTGTATCTTTAGCTTAGATCTCTCCGAAGCTTTATAGTCAAGGATCATATTATCCTCTGGATAGCTCCTCATGAATGTCCCAGAAGGCTCTCGAACTCACTGTGTTTATGTCCCAGCCCCACCTATTTCTTCTTCTGTATTTTCTACCTTGATCAATAGCAGCACCGTTTATAAAATTATATGACCCACATAAACAAGAACGTCCTAACTGAAGTTGCCACCCATCTGGCAGATTCTTCTCCAGTAATTCTCAAAGAGTCTCTTGAATCTGTCCCCTCCTCTCCATACATGCCGGCCTTGCTAAGTTCGGGTCTTACTATATCTTGCTTAGATTCCTACAGTAACCCCAGCCCAAGCCTACTGCCCCTAGGTTTACATCTCTCTAAATCATTCCACAGTGATTTCCCTAAAGCAATTTGGATCATGTCACTTCCTCGCTTAAAATGCTTCAGTGAGACTGCCTGTTCCCAGGATAAGACCCAAATCCTTACACTGACAAGTGATTATGTTGACATATGATTCCTATGACTCCTGCACCTTAGATATTACCACTCCCCCAAGTCCCTGAATGTGTCCTATCTGCCAGCTACGTTCAAGTATTTCCAGTTTCTTAAATATGCTATGCAATCTCCTTCCTCGAAGACTGTGCACATGTCCCCTGCTCCTGGGATATATTTCCAAACAATAAAATGCACAAGTCTTAGGACTTAACTCTACTGACAGCTCTTTCTACCCTGCCCCTAGTTCTTCAGGTAGACATTTTTCCTCTGAGCTCCTATGGCACAGTGGTTATCTGTGCATATGCTTCCCAAAGCAGAACCTTATTTCATTCATCTATTCATTTTATTCATCCTCAGCACACGGCACAGCACCTAATACTAGTAAGTGACCAGTTTACGTCTGTTTGGCGAATTTGAACAGCATCATAATCAGTATTACAGCATGTTCAGGTTTCTATAACAAAACCTGGGAGTACTACAAGGCTCTCCTAGAGTTCTGACTCGGAGGAAGCCAGCAAGTTGTCAGGGGGAATCTGTGGATTAGGGTTTGATGGGTGAGGAGTGGCAGGATGAGGGAGATGGTTATGGTATAAACTTGACACCACGCTTCATTCTATTCCAGGGACCTTCCTCTGGAGGGTGAGTGGGAAGGACAGGGGTGGGGGAGTGGTGTCTAGGCTACACTCCGACTCTGGCAGTTTTCAGGTACAGTGGTATTTCCCACCCTGCTGAGGATGGCAAGAGTCAGTGTAAATAACAGCTACCATTTAGGGAGCATCTACTAGTTATCAGCAGCCCTGCAGCCCTGTACTTTATATAATTATGTATTTATGGACGGGAAAGGAATGATTCTTTCTTAGCCTTTTTTTAAGAGACAGAGTCTTACTCTATCACCCAATCTGGAGTGCAGTGGTACAACCGTAGCTCACTGCAGCCTTGAACTCCTGAGCTCCAGTGATCTTCCTGCTTCAGCCTCCTGAGTAGCTGGGACAACAGGCATATGTCACCATGTCTGTCTCTTTTTAACTTTTAATTTTAGAATCGTTTCAAACTTAAGAATTATAAGGCCAGGTGTGGTGGCTCAGCACTTTGGGAGGCGGAGGTGTGAGGATCATGTGAGGCTAGGAATTCGAGACCAGCCTGGATAACATAAAGAGACCTCGTCTCTTTAAAAAAAAAAGAAAAAAGGAAAAAAAAAGAATTACAAGAATAGTACAGATAATTTTCATCTACCCTTCACTAAGAATGAGCATACTCACTCCACTTCAGGTTATGCATTTTGGGAAGAAATATCATAGAAGGGCACTTTTTCATGCCTCACCTCAGAAGGTGCTGGCCTGCCCTCCCTCCCTCCCTCCCTCCCTCCCTTCTTCCCTCCCTCCCTTCCTAGTCTCATTCCATTGCCCAGGCTGGAGTGCAGTGGCACACTCACAGCCACCCCAGCATCGATCTGCTGGACTCATGTGATCCTTCTGCTTCAGCCTTCCAAGTAGCCGAAACTACAGGTGCGTGTTACCATGCCTGGCTAATTTTTGATTTAGCCGAAACTACAGGTGCGTGTTACCATGCCTGGCTAATTTTTGATTTATTGTAGAGATGAGCTCTCACCAAGTTGTCTCGAACCCATGGGCTCAGGCAGTCCACTCGCCTCCTAGAGTGCTGGGATTACAGACTGAGCCACCGAGCCCAGTCTTTCTTTTTTGATCACTGCTTTCAAGGGGCAGGTATTACATATGGAGAGGATAAGGGACTACTTTTTCTTTGGCTCAAAGCATCCTGTCACTATTTCCACGGGAATTCTAAATTTTAGCCCTCTGATAGCTGCTGTTCTCAAGGACAGCTCCTTGACCTTTGAAAGACTGAGTTTAGAGTCAGTGGCGGCCTCTCTGAGGATCTAGGTCCCTCTAAGATAAAACGTGGCCACACAGGCCATTCCTAGGAGGCAGCTCATTGATCACACATTGGAGGACAGAGCACAAGAAGAAGCACATCTCCCTTTACATGCTTACCAGGCCTGCAGGGCGCATATGGGGTCAATCTCAGTTACGTACACAATGGAGCCCATGGCTTTTAGGGCAGCACAGCACCCTTTCCCCACCTGAAGAGGAAGAGAACACATGTATTAAGACAGCCAATGAGAAAACAGTTACTCAAAGCTTCTGGTAAAGTGTACCCCCATCTTTCCGCCCCAAGAGGAATTTCACTAATAGATTCATGCTTGGGGAGAAACAAGAAAAACAAATACACGAATGCAGTCCATCAACAAGCCCCTGGCTCCCACTCATCACATTCGTGTGTATAAGAACACCCACACTCACGATTTATAATCAAAACAAGCTAAAAGAACATTACAGACGGTGGTGCTGGAACAAGTCAGAACATCAACGTAAGGAAAAATGGCAAAAATGAAAAGGGAAAAGAAAGATCGTCTTTTAACTGCAGGGACCGCTAATGTCCTTTCTCACATCTACAGTGGGAATGGGTGTACTCTCATGTCCATACAAGTGAAAAATTCCAGGACATTCCAGCAAAATGCATAAACCTCTAGTGAATGGAAGATTAAGCCTTACCTCTCCATAGCCACAGACCACCACCTGCTTTCCACCAAACATCATGTCTGTTGTTCTTTTAAGTCTAGGGGAAACAAACATTGAGTCAGATGAGGCTTCCCTTGTTTCTCCCCTGAGGTTAGACTGGGTTTCTTGGTTTTCATGGGATTTTTTGGCTTGTTTTTTGCTGTGAAAGAAAGACTGGCTTTTTCCCTAGAGAAACGAATAACCAAAAAGAAAGTTTGAATAAGATACACATTTTCTCATTCCTTGCCATCCAACCAATTCTCTAAGTGAGAGTTTTATTCTTTTTTCTCCTTTTCTTGTGAATAGTACAGAAGAGGAGGTAGATTACCTAGTAACTTTTAAACATAAAAGTTATATATATTTATTATATGATATTTTGAGCATATAATACTTGGAAAGAAAAGATATAAAGCAGAAAATTAAAATAATGTAATTTTAATTTAGGAGGTGACAAAGCTCTGGCTTAATGAAAACATTACCCAAAGGTGCTACACAAATCATTTCCAGAAACAACCAAACCAAAAACATTAGAACCTCATCTCAACAACTCAAGTTCATCTCAAAGATAGTAAGCATTACCCATCGAGAATTGATTCACGGCAACAGTAGAGGTTGTCAAATTTCTGTTTGGTGACTGAGTCATTGACATTCATGGCTGGAACACACAGCTTCCCAGCTTTGGACAGTTGGTACAGCCTGAGGACGAAGGGCGCCAAGAGGAACATAAAACAATGAGACACTACAATCCACCATCCGTTTCATATCAGATTCCGGAGACTTGTTGACTAGATAAGCATGAAGCATAAGACATGACTGGTTTTGTACTATTCGGTGGATCTTGAGAAACAATGAATATCATCCTAGAGCCTGCATACAGCCTAGCAATAAAGACCGTATTCAAAAGTCACAAGGGGAAAATCTTTGACCCACCTCTTAAACTTTAAGGCTAGAAAACATGAGGCCCTCACTTGTTCCCCATCTGCCACACTCCCACTATTGCAGTTTTCTATCTGTATTAGTAATGAAAACACCAAGCACGCAGGCTTAGCTCCAGCTACCTCATTTTCAACATGATGTGTCCTAGAGGTATGTTATTATAAGATTACGTGTCCAAGCCACATGAAGCCAGGCATGTCCACATCACATCTTACCTGTGAACTCCAGTAACACTCTCCTCTACTATGCCTTTGATTTTCTTGAACATGTTGGGATACTTTTTATAAATCCAGTGAGTGAGATCCCCGCCATCATCCAAGATCTGCAACAGTAAGCACCAATCTTGTCAGTCACTCTGCCGAAGGCTCCAGGCTTCAGTGCTTCTCTGGGTCTTGTATCCCAGTTTCTAAATACCCGTTACAGATATTTCAACTTTCCCATATGGCCATGCAAAGTAAAGCCAAAGCAAATTGGCCAATGCAATAATGTATCAAATAGTTATTATACTGAAAGTATAAAAGACAATGAGGGATAAAAGGTCAACTAGAATTCTTACTGCCAAATGACCTTCCCACATGACACGTCTACTATATCAAAATATACAGCAACGCAATGAAGCTATTCTTATGAATTGACCGTTTAAGGGGTTGTCCAGACCACCAGTTCTTGAATGTACTATAGATATTCAGAAAGCCTAAACCAAATCCAATTTAGCAGATTTCTATCAGTTAAGTTCAGAACTTTAAATAGGTTCTGTCAAGGCTTAGTTTAAATAAAAGGCCAGATAATTAGTCTCCCTCTCAGAATGATGACTTATAAGACCTTCTTCATTCATGGTTTATTTTTCTCAAAGCAGAGCCACTCTCCCACCCAAGATGTCAGGCAGCACTGCAGGGTTTTGCCTAGCAGAACCTCACTCTGTGGAAACCAAATTAAAAATACCCAGGAAACCATGCAGCATGTAGGTGTGCAAGCATGCCTCTGAGCAGCTCATCACTGTTTCAGGTTGGGAGTCAAGATAAACACAACACTGTATAATTCAAAAGCCCCCCTTCATCAGCAAAGGAGGGCTTTTGAATTACAAATCGGCTGAAGAAAGGCCAGCTCAGAACACTATCAGGCGTTGGGCTATGACACGTCAGCCTTCCCAAGCCTGTCAGAAGTGCTTGGCAGGACTTTGCAAATTGTCATACCATCCTTCTGGAAAGTCCCCACAGCACCGAGTTGCCCTCTGCTGGCATGCACCCATTTTGCAGTCCTGTCAATGATCAACTCCACAAGTGCAACAATGCCAGCCTGAACCCCAGGGTATGTGTGTCTACCACCTGACCTCTCTTTTGCATCTGCTCTTGCTGTTGGTCTATCTTCTCTAACCCAATCAGACTTGCCCGAGAGCGGGATCCAAGGTAGGACTCTCCTTAAAACTCCTATATTTGCTCCACATAAGCAGAAACCCTCAGAACCCATGCCCCAAGAAAGCAAAGGGCTTTTTTGAGTTTCTCTCTCCCATTCTCCATGTATGGAATCCTCATGGAGTTTTCCCTCGCCTCAGAAAAGATCAGAGAAAAAAGAGATGGAACAACCAGAAACTGTGTTGTAAGTCCCACCATTCTCACCCACTTTTCCCTTTAACAAAGACATCTGATACTGGCAGGTAGTTGCTATCCTTCATATTTATTTAACAAACGCAGCCCTTAATCATCACCATGCAAATCTGCAGAAAATTCTTGTCGTCAGGAAATCTTCCTGGGGTTGGAAAGCAAGCAAACTACTCGATCGTGACAGGAGCCAGAGGGCCCGTGTCCCGTTCTCTGGGCAACAACTGTTTTGTCCTTGTCTTCTCCTTCATTAACCTTGCCAGCAGTTCATGCTGGCTTCACAGTTTGTAAAAGCTCTCTGGGCACAATCCCACGTCCTCCCTGGGTTCCTGCCTATAAAATCAATGTTTTCTTCCCTGGCATATCTTGTTTAGTATCCGTCAGTCATCCTCCCTGCTGTCACTGTTAAAACTGTTGGAATGAGCTGACTCACCTCATAGCCACTGTCAACCCTGCCCCCCACCCTCTCGGGATATGAAGGCTTTAACCTAGCACCGGGTGCCATGTGACATGGATTGCAGAACTCAGAAAGAGGCTGCTTCTCTGCCTTGCACTAGGCGAAGTCTGCTAGGCAGCTTTCAGCAGCAAGCCATGGTTGGACTAGAGCTTAAAGGGCTCTTTGCTCAGTTGAATCCTTAATCTTTCTGCTCACATCATAACAGGCAAAACTGCTTACAAAGCGGGAGTGTGCATATCATATGCTGTGGTTTTTTGCCTCTAGTCTAATGTGCGAATCTAATGTGCTATCAGGCTGCAAGACTTGATCTTTTAAAAAATGAAACAAAAATAAAAGTGGAGCAAAAATTAAAAGGCTAAAACTTAGCCTGGCCACCTTTTTTTAAAGGTAGGGAATGAATAAAAAGAAGAAATTCAAACCTGGAAGCTCTTCAGGCTTACTATAAATTTAGTATATGTATTCTGGAGAGAAAGCTAAGTATCTCTGAAGTTGTGGCTTTTTTGTTTGTTTGTCTGGGGTTTTTGGTGGTTGTGTTAGGGAGCCAATAGTAGGGGACAGAAACTCATTACCCTTGCTTTTTAACCAGCCATGTGTTCATGATGAGCAACAATTTAACCCTTTGCACTCAGATGTCCCCTCAGAGGTTGCTAGTGACTATATAGGACAAACTTATGCCAACACAAATTTTTCAAAACTGTATGTGTCCTCGAAGTTTCCATTCAAATTGCATGAAAAAGCAAATACAGAGATGGAATAGACACTGAGATATGATCGATCAGTTGAGAAGTGGTTTTCAGGGATTGCAAATGTGTCCTTCCATGTCTTCTTTGAACAACAGACCGGAAAATAAATGATACATTATTAATGTAGGAGGAAGAAAATAACTACATTGTCTGCTCGAATAGAAAAACACCAGGTGGAAGACATCAAATGAACTTCTATTGTACAACATGTATCAACGAACCTGCAACGCATGTCGGTGACTATTTCACACGTGGAAACATATAAGAAAAATTGAAGACATAAATTTTGATGTTTTTGTCATAAAAAGTTCTTCAAAGTCCAAAATTCCATTATAAGCCAAATATCATTACAATAAAATAATTTACTCCAACGCTGTACTATTTAATATGAAGTGATTTTGTTACTCTGTAAATAAGTGCTGTCAAGTGCGAGTAGGTAACCCATGAGACACCACCGAGTGCAGCAAAGGGTTAATATTATGAAGGACTCTGAATGTTGCCAACATCAGTGCTAACAATTAAGGCACTCTGACAAACGCATCAGTCCTCTTGAGGCACTCCTAAGCACAAGTATCAGGTTCTGCTGGAAGCCCAGATCATCAGTTAGAACTGGAGTCATTTTCTCCCTTCTTGTTGGGAAATCCTCTCCCAGGTCACAGCCTCCCCCACCCCCAACCCCTACAAAACTGTGTTGGTAAAGTCGGACCCACCATGTTTGGCTGCCAGCCTTCCACATTCACACATCTATCAATGCACCACCAGAAGTCATCTTCCGACTCTCCTTTCCAGGCAAAGACGGGAAATCCTAAGAAACAGACAGAGAGAAATCTTCAGAGGCTAGAAAAAGTGCTGACCCCCAAATTGGCAAGGGGACCCTGGTTTTCCAACTTCATTCTGCTGTGTTCCTTGGACTGACTTTCTTCACTGACTGGCACTGCTTCAAGCCTGTGAGCCAGCCCTTTGACTGCTGTGGTCTTTCTGCTCTTGCTAGTCCACTCTGTTCAAGCAAGATGGTTGTTAAAAATATGACTAAACAGAAAAAAGAAGAAACCAGAAGGAAGTACTTCTTTATTCCTCACACTGGCATTCCTACCCTTTCCCAACCACACTCTGATCCTTCTTGCTTCTACAATGGAGTCACCCTACCCCATTCATTAGGAAAACCCTTACACACTTTCTGTCCGCCAAAATGTTGCTACATTTCAGAGCACAGCTAAGTGTAATGTTCCTAAAAAAGCCCGATTAACCAGCTGGAAGTGGCCCTCAAGAAATCTGAACTATTCTTTTTTTTTTGAGTTGGGGGTCTCACTCTGTTACCCAGGCTGGAGTACAGTGGCACAATCATGGCTCACTCGAGCTGCTGGGCTTGGGCAATCCTTCCTCCTCAGCCTCCGAGCAGGTGGAACTATAGGAGTGCCACTCTATCAGTTAATTTTTAAAAATTTTTTTATAGAGAGAAGGTCTCACTATGCTGCCAGGCAATCCTCTGGCCTTGGCTTCCCAAAGTGCTGGGATTAGAGGCATTAAGCAACAATGGATCTGAATTTTTCTTTCTTTCTTTCTTTTTTTTTTTGAGTTGGAGTCTCACTTGTCGCCCAGGCTGGAGTGCAGTGGCATGCTCATGGCCACCGCAGACTCGAGCAGCTGGGCTTAGGCAATCCTTCTGCCTCAGCCTTCCAAGTAGCTGGAACTACAGATGCACACCACCATGTCCAGCTAGTTTTTTTTTTTGTGATTTATTGTAGAGATGAGGTTTCACCAAGTTTCCCAGGTTGGTCTTGAACCCACGGGTTCGGGTAATCCTCTTGCCTCGGCCTCCCAAAGTGCTGGAATTACAGGTTGAGCCACCGCGCCTGGCGGGATCTGAATTTTTCTAAGCCCCTTGTTTGTGTATTGAATATGAACTTATGATCTGTTGTGGCATTTATCATCTATGTCCTTGTGTCATCATTATTTATATAAGTGTATTATCTTCTCAACTACAATATAAGATTCAAGGGCCTGACACGGTGACTCATGCCTGTAATTCTAGCACTTTGGGAAGCTAAGGCAGGCGAACTGTTTGGGGCCAGGTGTTTAAGATCAGCCTGGGCTACTTGACATCTCTACAATAAATAAAAAAGTTAGCCAAGTATGGTAGTGCGTGCCTTTAATTCCAGCTATTTGGAAGGCTGAGGTGGAAGGATCATTTGAGTCCACAAGTTGAGGCTGTGGTAGCCGTGAGTGTGCCACTGCACTCTAGCCTGGGAGACAGAGTATGACTCTGACTCAAAAGAAAGAAAGACCAGCCTGGGCAACATAGTGAGATCCCATCTCTACAAAAATTTTAAAAATTAGCCAGGTGTGGTGGTGTAGCTACTCAGTAGGCTGAGGTGATAGGATTGCTTGAGCCCTGGAGTTTAAGGCTGCAGTGAGCTTTAATTGTGTCACTGCACTACAGCCTGGGTGACAGAGAAAGACTGTCTCAAAAGGAAAAAAAAAGATTCTGAGGGCAAAGACATTGTCTCATTTGTCCTTAGCTCGTAGAGAAGGTCAATAAGTAAAGAATGCATCTGTACAATTCATTGGGTATTCATTTCATATTTGTGGTCCCATTAAGGTATTAATATTAAATACTTTTCTCTCATATATGCATCAATCCAATTGTATACATGAGTGAATATAAATGAAAGAAGAAATGAAACGCTGAGCATGCTGGCCAAAGAGAAAAACACACACTTCATGGGCTCTCCCTGGTGCTCTGGAGCAAGTGTCTGGCTCTCAGCTCTGTGCTGTGCTGCCAGAGAGAAATGGCAATAGCTGGCAGAAACCAGCTCTCCATTTCTTTTGTCCTTCAAGTATCAGTGGACGTTGTGATCAAAGGCCAGGTCAAGTCTCACTGCTGAAGCAGAAACACCAACATCAAGTCAGGGCCACTTGCTGGAAGGCCAGCAGGGCCGCAAAACCATGGCTGAAGGCTTTTCTTTTTTTTTTTTTTGTTGGGG